AGATGTGTATAAGTGACGGGATGTAACTATTGTACATATGAGAAGATTAAATTGTTTCACGGATTAAATTCTATACGTTATTGAAACTCTTAGTACCTAATTTATTTTAAAGCTGTATTGAGAAATTCTCTAATCTTATCTGGAATTTTGAATGAAATTCCTGAAAAATCCGGGAATTTTCGGCGAATTTTTTTTACAAAATTTGAGTACCCACCATGTTGCAATACATTAGTGGTATCACACGTGCAACATAAATTTATTATATAAACGCACTTTTGCTTTACAGACTAATTAAACACACTGAGAAATTGTTAGAAGAAAAAGAAGAAAAGTTATGCGTCAAAGTCTTAAGAACGCTCCGGGAAATGATGGCTATCGATCCTGAATACGGGGAAAAAGTGAGTGTCATTGGAATTGTATTTTGCATGAGATTACATGAATCATTTATCATACTGAGGAAGATATATATATAAAACACAGCATCGCGGAAGAGGGCATTCAGCTCGCGTAAATAGGTTTACGGCAATGGCATGGAAAATAGAATATCGCTGAATGTATCGCAATGAGATAAACTCATTGTCTTGCGGATTTCACAATTATATTTAATCGAAGAACTTTCTGCTCTGTGCTGCAACTACCTGGCGTAAACTTACGGCGCGTTTTCTCATAGTACAGCTGAATGCCCGATCGCTCTCTCACAGCACATTAGACGATTTAATGCGCGATTGAATATTTATTTGGCTTGCTGCATAATTTACGAAGAATAATGTAAAAGTTAATGAGATTTCTCAAATACGCCACAAAGTCTTAACGGCGGGGGGGGAGATCTCGTAGAATAGATCTGTAGGTAAAGATGTTTTCATGCTGCGAACGAAGAACGAAGGTATCTCGGAACAGACGGAGTCAGAAACGAAGGGCGAATCACAAGTTGGAACAGATTCCAATGATCAGTCTGAGAATCGACAATTGACTCAGCAAGAGCCGGTAAAAATTAAAAAGTAGATAGATGAGAAATATGGGCACAACGTATATATGAAACGAAAATTCTGTATATGCCGAGTAGCATTTCGCGCGAATGAAAAAGAGATCGCGTGATGTGATTTAGGACGCGCGAACGAATTAGTTCTAACATCGCTACGACATTACATGCTGTTGCATTGTCAAAAGTAAAAGAAATTCATTCACATAGGATGTATCGTCGGAAAAGAAGGAGAATCCAGTTTGATTCTCATTTCTCTCGAAACTTACTACTCTGATCTGCAAATCATGACGAACCATAATTTACCTTCCATTTTAAAAGCTAACGAAATTAATAAATATGTTGCTAATTGTAGTTGATTAATTGTGTTGACTTAAGTTGTTGACTAACAATAAGTGATTGTCCATTATATGTTATACATACACGTCGGGTCGTAAATGGTGTGTGGTAAAAATTCCGTAAAGTAGAGAATATGGTGTGGTAAAAATTCCGTAAAGTAGAGAACATAATGTACGTTGTGTAGATCTCTTATGCATGCCGCTTGATTTATAAGCACGTTTTCATTTATCTCCATTTCTCTTATTACATCTGTATATCCATTTCTTACTATTACGTTCACAGTATCTTACAAGTATTTACATTAAATAAGCCATCTCTATCTCGATGTAGACAATTTCATTTTGAGAAAATATACCTATATAATATTTATATATATATAATATTTATATATCTATTAATATCTTATATGTGTAAGTACATATATAAGGATCGTATGCTCTTATATGCGAGAGTAATTTTGATTCACGGTGCAGAGTGAGAAAAAAACTAACAAAAAGCATGCATTAATAATGCCTTACTTTGTTAATGCAAGCATGTATTAACAAAAAAAATTAAACAAAAATTATGTTTCTCTGCAATACATTTACCGTGCATCGAAGACTTTTACGATCTACACCTTTGACAATGTTATTTCTAGAAGTTTGTTTAACAAAAAAAAATACATGTATATATATTTTAATACTATTACATACAAGAATATAGAGATAAAATACAAAAAATATAGCTTTCCTAGATAGATATGTAAATGTGTATAAATTATGTAGTAAGATGTACCAATACAATGATAGTTTCTACATTTTAACAATTACACATTGACTAATGATTATAACAATATGCTACATATTTTTAATTTTCAATACTCTTAGGCACTCTTGAGAGGGGAAATCACATGTACTGCGAATGTGAAATTTTATGTGAAATTTTACTGTTTTGTAATTAATTCCTTACTCCAATGAATGTGCTATTTATTTATAGATAGTGCAATATTTATACTCAGTTATTCCGTTAACACACTTTGAGCATAGATATACATTGATATACCAAAATATCACCACCGTATGCACATCCAAAATATGTGTGTTGTTATTATTCACTCTATGTGCTCTGCCCCAAGATTACACTCTTATATATGTCTATGTGAATACAATCTTACACCTTTATACGAATCCATCTGTTGTCTTATATGAATTTAATCACTTATTGAAGTCTTCGATTTTCATACGATCTTCACCGACTGTTAATGTACGAAATATGTGAATGCTGTTTGCAATTACATTAACTTCTATACCTTTTTTTTTGCTCTCATATTGCACTTTATTCATACATTTTGTCTCAAGTTAAAAATTTTGTATCAATGATATGTAATAAGATTTCTCCTACACGCATCCTAAATTGCACAAGATATTTCTCACACCTTTTAAGCACATAAAAGCACCGACTTTTGTAAATATACAATTCCGAAATCCGTGTCAATACATATTATTTGCAATATATATAGAGCTATTACTTGTGAATATACGAAGAGAATATCTATACTCTCTGGATCTCTTTGGTTTTTATTAATGTTGTGCACTATGTATTGGTACATCATTCCGAGTTCAAACGAGTGTGGTAGAACGCTGACGTTGAGTACTCCCTTTTTTTCCGTAGGGAGACGTATTGAGAAATAATCTTTTGGCACGTTACTTCGGCAAGAGTTTTACGCAAAATCCGGAGAACGTGGACATTGGGGTGTCCCGTAGCGCGACCATTACCCACGGTCCAGGAGGTAAGTCGTAAGATATATTATCTGTAACAGATTTTTTTAATTGCATTTGGATAACGGCGAGCTAATGATTGCGATTTACAGCAAAGATGTTAAGCCGGGCCGGTAGAACGTTGCACGATGTGCAAACTCATCTCGACCACGAAGGTGCTTCAGACTTGGTAGTAGAATTGGTGATTAAGAGCGTACACTCTCCGAGCATATTTGTAGAGGTCGTAGAACTGGGAATTGCGCTCCTGGAGGGTGGAAATCCTATTATACAGAAGAGTATATTTAATAAGTTAATGGGTGGCGATTTAAGTCAATCATTCTTCAAAGTACGTCTCACTACAATATTTTATGAGCTAGTTGGAGTTTGAAACGTTTTTGGAGCGATTTAAAAAAGAAAGATTTGTCTCGTTTCTAGCTTCGCGCAGAGTAGAAATGGGGCAAATCATTTTTGGCGTAGAATTTTTTAAGTGACCGAGAGGCAGGGTTTTGCCACAGACCTGGAAAACCGGGAAAGCCTGGAAAAGTCAGGGAAAGATATAAAAGAGCCTGGAATTTTGAATTTTGCTCACAATTTCCTTAAAGGGGTCATTTGTTTTATCGACGAAACTCAATAATTTTTGTACTATATTTTTGTATGTATTGCTTTTTCTCATTTGAAAATTCTTTTCCACAATTAAACAATAGACAATAACAGAATGAAATGATTTTGTATAAAAATCGAAAAATTTTCGTAAATTGCGATTTTGTTTGAGACTCCTCTCTCTTATCGCAATCAAAAATATTTTGAATGTTTAGCGATATTAAAGAAATGTCTATAAAAATCTTTTTGCTTTTACCACTGAGTTTTTGTCTGGTCTCCAAGCAAAATTCCCGCGGAAAATTCAGTTATAAAGGAATTTTTTTTCTGTAATTTAATGCATAACATCAGTGCCAAAGCCACAATGTTAAAGCGATATTAATAATTTGTTGACCTGAATTTGCATTTGGAATTATATTATATTATTAAACTTCTAAATTTATGCTGCTTCTAATAATATAAGTTACTTTTCTTGAAATATGTATCTTCTAAACATTAAAATTTAGAATTATATATTTGATATTGATTATGGAAAATTTTCCACTGTTGTCTGGAAATCATGGAAAAGTCAGGGAATTTCAAAATTCATTTTTTTGTGGCAACTCTAAGGAGGATGATTTATCGAGCCTTAAGGGTGCCTTCCGATGCGTGTATTCAATTGGGACATTTTATTTTATGTCTGGCACTTGGATGTAACATTGTGCGAAAGTAGAAATGGGGACAAATCAATTTTAAAATATTGCTCCAGGAACGTTCCAATCTTATTTAGTACATAAACATGCATGTAGCGTATTTAATGTTATAATTTCTTCGCCCAGGTATTTTACGACAAAATGAAAGACTCTCAGCAAGAGATTAAATCTACTGTGACAGTAAATACGTCTGACATGGCGGCGAAAGCACACGAGGACAAGGAGGGCAAGGAAGTAGACAAGTTGTCGCGTGGAAAGCGTGGATCAGGTATGAAATAAAATAAATACTATACCATTGGAGAAACATTAAGTTATTTAAATTTAACTTGAAGAAATTGCGGCTCGTATAATGAATAATCATAAATAGCCAATAATGCCTTTGCGAGCCGACACGGATGTTGGTGTGTAATAATTTTTATTGTTACAATATCAAGCCACGTACAAACTGAGCGCCGCTAATTTTGATGCTAATAAGCATCTATTAAATTATATCTAATAAATTCTTTACAAATTTGAGGGGGAGAAGATTGTTAATAGATACTTCGTAGCTTATTAGCATCGAAATTATTAAATTGTTCGACAATTTAATTCGTTATAGTGGATTCTGATCTTATGTAAGAATGTGTTTCAAGACCGACAGTTTAGAGGGGCACAGTTTGTATGTGACTTGATTTTGTAAAAATACAGTAAAAATTATTACACCAACATCGGCTTGCAAAGGCATTATTGGTTATTTATGATTATTAAGTTATTTTCCATTTAATTAGTGCTCTATTCGTTACTGCTAACACGTGTGTCTTTAAATAATGATTGAATAATTCTATGTACAGTCGTGGACAGATCGGTTGCGACACTTTTTTTTTATAGGTTTCAAAACGCATTATATATTGCAAATGCGATATTTTGCAAATGCGAACCACGATTTGTGTTATATGTATATACATATACTGTCTCTAGACTAAAGATAGTACATCGTGATTCGCATTTGCAAAATATTAGTTATTAAAATATATATTATGTATATTAAATATATATATTAGAAACCTGTAAAAAAAAGTGTCGCAACCGATCTGTCCACGACTGTACGTAATAAACTTATCGAGCGTTTACCATATACATATGTAGGAAAGCCCAACGGAATGGTGATAACCGACGAGATGCACGAGGAATTGAATCAAGTCGCGACGGCCAACGCACAGGTATACGCAAACATGCGCAATGGTCTTGCGCTTAGCGACGACGCGGCGAACAACTCGTTGGACGACATAAGCGAAAAGTCGGACAGAAATAAAAGTGGAAATTCGTCGGGTTCCGACAAGGAGGAGGGTCAATTGAGCCCCAAAGTCCTGGTGATGCAACCAATTCTGCGTTTCTTGCAGTTGCTCTGCGAGAATCACAACAGAGAATTACAGGTGCCTCATCGTCCGACCGGAATCATCGTATTTTCATTATGACGCTGATTTCGAATTATTAACCAATCGTCCATGTCTTCTTTTATAGAATTTCCTAAGGAATCAAAATAATAAAACAAACTTCAACCTGGTGTCGGAAACGCTCATGTTCTTGGACTGCATTTGCGGCTCTACCACCGGCGGATTAGGCCTCCTTGGCCTCTACATCAACGAATTCAACGTAGCGCTGATCAATCAGACGTTGGAAACGTTGACGGAATACTGTCAGGGACCGTGCCACGATAATCAAAATTGCATCGCCACGCACGAGTCCAACGGCTTGGACATCATAACGGCGTTGATACTGAACGATATCAATCCCCTGGGAAAGACCAGGATGGATCTGGTACTGGAGTTAAAGAATAATGCCAGTAAACTGTTGCTGGCGATTATGGAGAGCAGAGGCGACAGCGAGAACGCGGAGAGAATTATGTGCAACATGAATCCGAAGCAGCTCGTGGATGTAGCGTGCAAGGCTTTCCATCAGGAATCGTTGGACGACTTCAGCGACTTCAACGATCCCCTGACTGAAGAGGAAGGAGTATCGCCCAAAGATGTAAGTGACAGTATATTTTAACAGATTAACAAAAGTCAATTTAATTAATCTATTAATACAAAAGGGCTGTGAGCTAAAGATCAGGGTTGCCACAAAACTGGAAATTAGGGAAAAGTCAGGAAATTTTACAAAATTTTCTGGAAAATTAAAATTCTTAGATTTAAAGAAGTTTAATATATGTATATCACACACTTATACAGTTTTGTTA